CGCACAGAGCGGAGGAGGGGCTGCCCGTTTCCCTCTCCACGGAAACCGGTCCCTCCCAGCCGCCCTCCCTGTCCTCCCTGCGGCCACCACTCACCATGAGGCAGGGGCCCGGACTCTGAGCTTCCACTGCTAGTGTCTTCCGTGTCGCTGAGGTCAAAGGTCACCACTTTCTTGGTGGGGGGCCCTCTCAGAGTGTCCTCATCTAGAGCCTGTGGGTAGAAGCAGCAGTTCTTGCTGGCCCTCGCCCTGCGCCTTTGCCCACTGGCTTTGTGCTGGAGAGGAGCCCTTCACCCCTTCAGGTGCGGGCTCTTTGGGGCCAGGGTTCTGGGAGGGGCACATCCTGTGGGCTGCCTTGCGGGGTGGGGGGCGGGGGCGGGGAGAGGCTCACAGAACTCACCCACCTGAGACGCGGGCAGGCAGGCCACCAGGACCAGGCTGGTGCCCACCCTTTCTCTCCCCAGTAAACTCGCCCTGCAGGGTCTCCCCACCCACGCCTGGGCATCCGGGGAAAGGCTGCTCCCCGGAACACCTGTCCTCAGGTTCCATGGCCGGGGAAGGGCCAGGGCTAGATCCTCTCCCAAGAAGCTTCAGCAAGAAGCTCCGGGTCTCTCAGAACCACGCAGCACAAATTACCCAACGCAGAGCTGAAGCCATGCCGTCTCCCCGCCCGGGAGCCTCAACAGGACCCAACACCCAACCGCATCCGGGCTGCGTGGCCAGGGCTCACCTCGTCCTGCAGAGAGGCCTCCAGCTCGCTCAGCTTCTCCTCCTTCCTCTGCAGCAGGTCGCGGCCTCTCCGCATGGCAGACTGCATCTCCCCCAGGTGCCTGGCCTCCTGCAGTCACGGGAGGGGAGGGGCCTGTGTGACCCACAGACGCTGGGGCCCAGCCTCGCCCTCTGTTTGCTGGGTTATCGTGAAACATTACTTAACTCTCAGTCTAGGTTCTCATCTAGGAGAACTGCTACTTTTCATGGGCCCTGAGAATTAACTGAGATGCAGTATGTTACAAGGGAGGCGCTGGATGTGAAATTCAGAGCAGCTTACTGCACTCCTCACCTAGAAAACGGAGTAACACTGGCCCCTTGCACATCCCCTGCAGTTCCTGGGAGGCCATGCGGTTTCTATCAGAGCATCCTGCCCACGGTGCCCAGCCTCGCGAGCCTAAGGTGAGTCTTTTCATCCTCGAGGAGCCACAGAATCTCCATCCCCGGCCCACCGCCCGACATGACGTGTGCCCAGAGCCCAGGGCTGTGCATCCGCCCTCATGGGGTCCCCAGAATGAGCAGTGGCGGGCGCAGCCCCGGCTCCCCAGCCTCCCTCCCCGGGGCCCAGGCTGTCCTCCAGGCTCTGACCTCCTCCAGGCCCTTGCGCACGTCATCGCCCAGGGCCTTGGTGCCCAGCAGGTCCTCGGGCGCATCCGAAGCGGTGCCCAGCTCGTGGCCCCAGTGCTGCTGGGCGGCTTTCAGGGCTGCCTGCCGCCTGCGCATGGAGCGCGTCTGCCGCACCAGGAAGGCCTTGGCACTGCGGAGAGCCACCCCCTCGGCAGAGAGGTAGTGCCGGAAGCTGATGGGGACAGGCGGGGAGGGGGCGGGGGTGAGAGGGCCTACAAAGACTCCAGAGCCCTGCTCTGGGTCACTCCAGCTCCTGGCAGACACCCATCCTGAGCAGACTGGGGGTGGGGCGGGGCTGCCGAGGAAAGGAACCCAGCCACTGGAGACCACACAGGGCGTGTGGCACTGTCCTCCAGATAGAGGCCAGGCACTCCCGTCAGCCTAACTCTCGCCCAGGCATCCGCAGATGCCAGCCTGCCGTGCCCAGTCATGGTGGGCACCGACTTCCCTGAGCCATGCCCACGGGTGACTGCCGTGACCTCGCTTCCCCCGGCCCAACCCCAAATAGGATGGGCCATCGACGCACCTGTCCAAGGATGAGTCAGCGACCTCCGGGCTCTGGGAGACAGAAGGGGGTGCCTCTTTGGTCTGTTTCTGAGGACACAGGAAAACCCACTGACCCAGGCCAGCAGGTGCACGCAAGCGCCAGGCCTGAAACCCTCCCAGAGCCGACGCCCCAGCCCTGCTGGAGGCCGGGCACTGTTCACCCCTGAGACCCTCGGACTATGGAAGTGGGGGACCAGGAACAGTAAGAACAGGAGCTGGAGGCCCAATACAGAGCAGAGCCCCGCCCCTCCTGGAGCCCCGCCCAGCCATCCTGTCCCTGCCAAGGCCAGAGAAGCTCACGGTGCCAGGGGGTGTCTTCAGGTCCTCGACATGGAGGTCTGGCTCACAACAGGGGGAAGCACTGCTCGCCTCGACCGCCAGCCCTTTCAGCGCCTCCTGCTTCCTCTGAGCTTCAGCCTCCAGGTCACTGCGGGTGGGGGTGCAGGAGGTGAGCAGGCTCCCCTGAGCACACTGTCGGGACCCCTGGTGGGCTTGGAGCCTCACCCGAGGTAGAAAATAAGACCATCTCCATCACTTCACTTCCGGCCAAGCCTCTGAGGCAGGGCTGGGGCTTGAACGGTGAAACCAGGACCCCAGCTGCTCCCGCCTCCTCACACCCCCATCCCTACCACAGGCAGCAGAGCCTGGCTCCAGCCCTGCCTGGGACGGGCCGAGCAGCGGAGGTCAGAGGGCACGCCACCTGATGCGTCTCTGCAGCCCCTTGGCCTGGGCCTGCAGCTGGTCCACCTGGGCTTCCAGCTCCAGCTTCTGGGCCCGCAGCTCGCCCAGACTTCTTCGGAGCTGCCGGTTGGACTCGAGCAGGTGCGTGTGCTCCTGCTTTGCCTCTTCCAGGTGTTGATGGGTGGCTGTGACTTCCTGGGCAGAGGAAAGACAGAAGCGCCTGGAGAAAGAGTGGGAGAAGGCAGGGAGCCGGGAAGCCCCAGGACAGGGCCCCGACAGGGCCCACACACCGAGGTCACGGGTCCTCCCCCTCCCGCCCACCCCCCACTCCCTGGCATCCTGTGCTGGCTCCCCCACAGGTACTGCTGGTGGAATAGCCCCAGGGCCTGCAGGCAAAGACCAAGTGAACAAGCGGTGGGGGGTGGGGAAGAGAGAGGGGGGCAGACAGGGAGGCCAGGTGAGGAGACCAGGCTCGCTCTCCAGCGCCACCTGCTGCTTCAGGCCGACAGCCGCCTCTCCTTGGGGCAGCCTCCTCCTGAGGGAGGGGACCAGCCTGGGCCACCGCCAGGCCCCAGGGTGCAGGGGCAGAAAAGGCCCATCCTGTCTTGGGGGAACCATGTCTCCAAGATCAAGGGCACCTGGGGACCCTCCACCCCACTCCCTCACCTGAACGTCCAGCTGAGCCAACCTGGCCTTGACCTCTTTGGCTCTGGTTTCCAGCTCCACCTCTAAATCTTGGAGTTTCCTTTCCTGCACAGAGCAAAGTCAGAGGAAAAAATGTGTGTGTAGAAACGGTGCGAGGCATGAGGTGAGGGCAGGAGGGGTCCTGACCCCCATGCCATGGCACACCCCCTGATAGGCTCCCACCCCCTCCCATGAGCCCCTGTGGCCTCCCAGGAAAGCACCACCCCTTGTTTATGCCCAGGGTGGGCAAGGAGCATCAGAGGTGCCAACCCCAAGGTCCTAGAGGGGCTGACCCCCTTGGCCCAGAAAACAAAGGAGCACCGATGTCCCAGACTGGGGTCGGCCAGCGAGAACCCCTCCCGCAGCTGCTGGCCTGCTGCCCCCACTGTCCCAGCCCACCTGCTCCCGGTGCCGGAGCCCCAGGCCCTCCAGCTGCCTGGCCTGCTCCTGCCTCGCGGCCTCCAGCTCCCGCTCGTGGGTCCTGCGCAGGCGCTCCAGCTCCCCAGTCAGGTGCCCCAGCAACGTGGCCCGCTGTGTCCTCTCCTGCACAAAGGGGGCCGCCAGTAGGAAACCGCAGTCCCCACCCCTGCCAGTGCCCCAAGGCCAGCCCTTAGGACAGCGGGGTCCCCCCAGAGAGCACAGGCTGGACAGTGTGGTGAGGAAATGCCCTGGGGAGCCTCCTACTGCTGTTGCCTCCCTCAGGGAAGAGGCCATTAATAGTTCCCTCTTCCTCGCAGGTCAGGACTGGTTTGGGAAGGAAGTCAGATCCTTCATGACCCGCTGGTTCTGCTGGGAAAGACGGCACAGAGAGTCTGGGATCTGGGGTCCCTGGAACCGCAGCCTAGAAGTCCGGGCAGAGGCCCAGCCGCGGGCCAAAGTCAGCCACGGCCACTGCTCACCCGACAGTAGCAAGCCAAGCCGAGGGCGGTGGCTTAGGTAACTGACCTTTCCCACCCAGGCCGAGGCTGGAGATGGGCAGGTGAGGTTTGCCTACTGTTTGGCTCCTGCCAGGCTATTTCCTGGTGTCCTGGGTTCCTATGAACCCTGGTGGCAGGGTTAGGGTGGCCAAGGCTGAGGCTTTGGGATCGGACAATCTAGGCTTGGACCCTAGCTCCTGCCTGTCAGCCATGGGTCGGGGCAAGTGGCTCGCGCTCTCTAACTCTCCGTTTCCTCACTTTTAAAATGGAGGTAATGATAGGACATCCCCCCGGGGTGCTGTGAGGACTGAATGAGCTAATCTAGACCAAGCGCTGAGAACAGGGCCTGGCACGCGGCCCACGCTCAATGTCAGGGTCGTCACCACGAAGGCCAGTGCAGCCTGCCCGGCGGAGGGTCCCTCCTCATCCGATGGCTGAGGCACAACGTGACTTGGCCAGGGCAGGGCCAGGGAAGAGAGCCTCCCACAGACACTCCCCGCCTCCCCTCCCCCTTCCCCCGCCTCCAGCCCGCCCGCCAGGGCCCAGGCTGTGCCACATGTGCCACGGGGAGGGCCGTCACCTCGGCTTCATACTGCTCTCTGGCCTCCGCCACCGCCTGCCGGTGCTCCTCCTTCATCTTGTCCATCCTCCCCTCGTGTTCCCGTTCCACCTCCCGTCGCTTCTCTCTCAGGAGCCCACTGAGCTGCAGGGCAGGCGGCAGGATACAACGGGGGACTGAGCGGGCAGCACGCAGGACTGAGCGGGCTGGCACGCGGGACTGAGCATTCGGCCTCACACGGCACCCCCCGAAGGCTCCCATGCACCCAGGTGCACGACACGTGATGGCCACACTCCCCACTGCCTCCCACACACAGGGCATGGCGTGGAGAAGCACTGCCGCGAGGGAACTGGGCTGTGAAACGGGAGCGGAAGTGCCAAAGTGAGAGGACCCTCTGGGCCAGGATGGCTCAGCGGTCAGAGCACCACGACAGTACCCGAGCCGGGAGCAGCGCAGCACACACCTCCTGCTCGTACTCCAGCAGCTGGCGAGCTCTCCGCTCCGCCCACCCCAGGCTCTCCTGCTGCTGGGCCTCCGCTTTCTGCTGAGCTTCCTCTCCCCGCTTCTGGAGGCTGGAGACCACCTAGGAGGGCCACGGGGGTGAGGCAGAGAGCACGAGAGTGGCCGGGGACCTACTTCCCAGGACCCGGTGCCCCTCCCGCAGGCTGCAGGGGGAGAGGCTGCCTCCCTCGTGTGGCAGGGAAGGGTCGAGCGTGCGCTCAGGGCCACAGCCCAGGCTCTACCCACAGGCCAGGCCCGGCACCTACCTCTCTGTGCTTAGCCTCCAGGGAGGACAGGAGCCGCGCCAGCTCAGCCCTGTACTCTGTCTCCAGCGCTGCTGCCGCCTGGAGAGCAACAAAGGGCCAGTGAGGGATGCTGGGCAGAGAAGGCTGCTGGGCAGCGACCCAGACCAAGGAGGAGCCAGGAACACCAGCCCCAACGTGCCGCGAGCTCAGGGGATGAGGGAGCCTCTGGCACAAATTCCTTCTCCCGATACAGCTCAGCCCCTGAAGCCTGCAACCAGCCGACAGACAGGCATGTGGGCAGTGTGGAGGGCACGGAGGCGGTCCCAGCCACTGCTGCCACCCTGCCTCTGGGCGCTGGGGGCACTCCCGCTGGTGAACACGGCCAGGCAGGGAGGCTGCAGGCTTCGGTCCACGCCCGCCTGCTGGTCTCCTGGTCTCAGCGAGTCTCCATCCCTCACCAAAAGGAAAGAGAAGTCCCTCGGCCTGGCTGTTACTCACTTCAGCCTCTCACCTGGGGACAGACCCTCACACCAGAGGGGCATGGAGGAAGAGCGAAGGACAACTTCCTGAGTGCACTACCGCTCAGCGAAGGCAGGAGAAAGGGGAGGGTGGAAGGTCATCGCATGTCCCCAGAGACAAGGACAGGGACGAGGCACAGGCGTCTCAGGACCTCTGCTCTGGTCGAAGTTCTTTCAGTCATGAAATCTCCCCAAACCCACAGCCATCTCCCCCCAAACTTCCTCCCAGCCGTGGCAGCACCCAGGCACCAGGCCCAGCAGCCCTCTGGGAGCCTCTGCGACCGACCGCTCTCTGCAGGGACCGGACCCAGCTCCTGCCCGCAGCCAGCTGGGTCACGTGAGCAATGGGCCCAGGGTCTGCGCCCCGTCTGTGCAGACCCCACTTTCCGCCCGGCGACCACCTGCACGCCCAAGGCTCGCTCGCTCTCCACACTCGGTCCCTCCCCAGGCAGCCCAGGCCGTGTGGGGCCGTATCAGAGAGGAAGGTCCCACTCTACTTGCTCACCTCTTTCCTCTCCCCTTCCAGCTGCTCCCTCCGCTGCTGCCGGGCCTTCTCCTTCTCGGCATTCAGGGCAGCCTGCTCTCTCCTCTCCGAAGCCTCCATCTCTCCCCGGAGCCGCTCCAGCACACGCTGGCTGCCCTGCTCCAAGCTGGCCCTCTCGGCCTCCTGCAGGGCCGCCAGCTCCTCTCTCAGCCTCTGCAGGGAAGCCTGGTGCTCGGCCCTCGGCAGACGGAAGGGTGAGGAAGGAGCTGAGCCCTCGGGGCGGCCCCAGGGGCTGGGCAGCTCGCATGGGCACTCACCTGATTCGGTCTGCATCTGCCTCTGCGCTGGACTGGACCTGGGCCCGGAGCCGGGCCAGCCTCCGGCTCTCCTCCTCTCTCATCTGAGTCCCCTCCTCCTCAGTGGCCTTCTGCAGCTGCTCCTGCAGGAGCCTGGGGAGGAAAGGCAAGGCAAGTCTGCTGAGGGCCCACCCTATTCCAGCCGTATCCCCGGCTCTCGGCCCACAGGCCTGTGGCCTGCTGGGAAGTTTCTGGAGTCTTACAGGGGCGCTGACCCCAGCCTCTGGTCTCTTACAGGGGCGCTGACCCCAGCCTCTGGTCCTGCTGCCTCCCTGCACTTCCCATGGGAGGGGGACCGTGAACTCCCCTGCCCTTTCCTCAGCAAGCGGATTACAGGCTGCCTGATCCCAGACCAGCATTCCTCCCCCAGGCTCCCTCTGCCTCAGCCTGACCCTGGTCCACATCTTTCTCTCTCCACCCATAGGTTCTGCTCCAGCCACTTCCGATGAGCCACCTCTGACCCCACCGCTCTCCTGGCCTCTGGGCCTTGCTCCTGCCGGTTCCTCTGCAAGAATCCCCTTCTGCCTGCCCATCGGTGTTCATCATTCAATGCCAAGCCCCGCCATCTCAGAGGAGTCTTTCTGACATGCTGGAAGCCAATCCACCCTTGCTGCTTGACGCAGTCGCTGCAGGGATGTTTCAAGGGACCTGGCGTATATGGCATACTGTTCTTAATATGTTTGCTCCCCCTCTTAATGCTATGTGTTTTAAACAGGACCACCTCTCTGAGAAAGGTTGTTTCCCCAGGTGAGGATTTTTATCAGTAAAACCCCTTAACTAAGTGCCAGGTGGGTAGTTAATCACTTTAACTACGAACAATCACGCTTAAACTACATAATCTTTACTTAGAATAATCTCCTTCAGTTACATCCTTGTAGCTTAATAGAACAATAGAGTAACCTTGGAATGGAGATAAGAAACGCCCTGACCTTTGGAATAGAATAGATAGCGTTAAGATCAAATAGTATAAATACAGATGTAAGAGGACAATAAAGAGAGGAACCTGGCTAGGAGGAACCTCGCCCTGATGATCACCTGAACGCTGCCTCCGTGTCATTCCTTCCTCGCCGACTCCGTCCACACCTTGGGGAACCCCTGGACTTGTTGGGGCTGGACCCCAACACTGACACCACCCCCCAGTTCACCAACCACCCCATCACAGCTACATCCCGCCACTCCACACTGCCTCACAAGTAATCACCTGTACGTCTGTTTTTCTTTCAAGTTTGGGAGCTTCTCCAGAGAAAGAACCTTTTCTCAAAACGTGTTACATCCCAGGTACCGAGCACAGGACCCGCCCTGGGATAGGTGCTCCGTACTGTCTGCTGACTTCGAACAGTGTCACCTAGCCCCAAACACAGGCCGGCCCGTAAGTCACCTTCCCGTTTAAAACTTTAATAACGTTTTTGGCAGTAATTTTTTTTTTAATTTTTATTTCAGATTCTGAAAACTTGTTCCTTGGAAATTTATTATGGGAAAATGAATGATGGAACAACGCATGAAAATCACCAAATTTCATTTTCAATCAGCCCTCCACGACTCTAACACAGAGAGCACATATAGGCTTCCATTTTGGGTCCACCCACTGACCCAGCAGTGCGTCCCAGGCAGGAGACCCTGCTCAGATCACACGCAGAGGAACACAGGGGGCGCCGGGGGAGCAGGGCTGAGCGTGTGCAGGGCGCTGCGGGGGAGCAGGGCTGAGCGTGTGCAGGGCGCTAGGGGAGAGCAGGGCTGAGCGTGTGCAGGGCGCTGGAGGAGAGCAGGGCTGAGCGTGTGCAGGGCGCTGGGGGGGAGGCAGGGCAGACTAGGGCAGCACATGCCACAGACTTACACACGGACCCACATAAGGTGCACTGGTGCATGAGCTCACACCCAGGACTGCCCAGCAGCTTAGGGACATGTTAACAGCCGTCATGGAAAATGCCACGGAAAGACCCTGTGCTTTGAAGTGGAAAGTGAAGGACATTTATGTGACATCATTTTTCATACATAGTTTTAAAAATTCGCATTTTCTGTACTTTGTATTGTAAAAATAGGAAACATTAAAAAACAAAAAAAATTATTCAATTTTTAAACGGTAAAGCGACTTAGGGGCCACCCTGTATAAGCAAGCTCTGGGGACCTATGAGGGCATCCTCTGGACAGACCGACCACGGGAACCATGTCGCCCCAGCAGACATCCCGCTGCTGGCCCCAGGCCCCCAGGGCGCTAGGGGAGAGCAGGGCTGAGCATGTGCAGGGCGCTGGGGGGGAGCAGGGCTGAGCGTGTGCAGGGCGCTGGGGGGGAGCAGGGCTGAGCGTGTGCAGGGCGCTGGGGGAGAAGCAGGGCAGACTAGGGCAGCACATGCCACAGACTTACACACGGACCCACATAAGGTGCACTGGTGCATGAGCTCACACCCAGGACTGCCCAGCAGCTTAGGGACATGTTAACAGCCGTCATGGAAAATGCCACGGAAAGACCCTGTGCTTTGAAGTGGAAAGTGAAGGACATTTATGTGACATCATTTTTCATACATAGTTTTAAAAATTCGCATTTTCTGTACTTTGTATTGTAAAAATAGGAAACATTAAAAAACAAAAAAAATTATTCAATTTTTAAACGGTAAAGCGACTTAGGGGCCACCCTGTATAAGCAAGCTCTGGGGACCTATGAGGGCATCCTCTGGACAGACCGACCACGGGAACCATGTCGCCCCAGCAGACATCCCGCTGCTGGCCCCAGGCCCCCAG